AACGTTTTCGTTTAAAAACGCTTCGATTGCGTTTTAACTTGAAGAGATAAGTAAGACGGAGACAAAGCAGTATAGCATTAAAGTGCAAATGGTTTGCAGTAATATAAATGACAATAAGTAAATGCAAACCAGAGATTACGTCGATTTTACAGTGGTTCGGTCAAATGACCTACATCCACTTGCGAGGCCCCTCTTCGATGAGGCTCCCACCTTCCACTAGCAAATCTCTTGAAAGGGAAGGATAAATACCCTTCTTACAACTTTTACAAGTGGTTCACTCTCTTACAGATTTTCAGCAAGAAAGAAGGAGGTGAACACTAGCAAATTGAAAACAAGATTTTCTAAGACTTTTCTCTCAATCACTTGCTGCTCAAAAAGTTGTTTTTCAGCTGAGACTTGAGGGGTATTTATAGGCCTCAAGAGGATTCAAATTTGGGCTCCAAAAATTTGAATTCTCTTATGTTCCCGATGCTGGCGGTGCCACCGCCTAGGCCAAATCAGCTCACTGGTTGGGCTCCAAACTTGGCCCAAACCAGTCCGAACTCGGGCCCAATTGACCCCTACTTGGGTTATAGGATTAACACCTAATCCTAACCCTAATTAACATGCTAACTATGAATTTAAAGACATTTTCTAAGCTATTACAAAGTTCGTAAGTCAAGACTTCTTCCGGCGAGCTTCCGACGAACTTCCGACGGTCTTCCGATAAACTCTCGGAAACCATTCTGCGGACTCCCGGCAAGCTCCTAGACTTCACGATTTGATCTTGGCAAGTTCCAACGAGCTTCTTCGATAAGCTCCGATCTTTCTCGGCGAGCTCCGCGAACTTTCAACGAACCTTCCGGCGAGCTTCCGAAAAACCCTTCGGCAAGCTCCATACTCATTCTTGGCTAGTTCTGGCAGCATTCCCGACGAACCTTCGGACTTCCGTCGAACTCTCGAACTCGCAATGAATCCTTCATGCTTGACTCCGACACTTTGTTTTGCTTTATGTCTTCGTCGTTATCGTAGTTAATCCTGCACACACAAGCAAAAACTCTACTATGATCTAGACAATTATTATAAAGTGAATTGACATTCTGTTGCCCGGCACGTCATTGGTTGGCGCTTCGTCCGTTCTTCGGCGCATCGTCCTCTCTTGCGGCTTGTTGCCCAATCAGTGGTTGACCTCCGCAACGTCGATATCCTTGGCGCAATTCCGCTCTTGGCCCGATGCCCGACGTCCGAAGCCTTCTGCCATCCAATATCCTAACGTGATCTCCTCCGGCGCAACGTCAATTCCTCCTGCCTTAATTGTCTAATCCTGATCGAGTAGACCTGCATCACTCAAAATACAGTTAAACATAAACATAATTATCAATTGGTTTCATCATCAAAATACGAGATTCAACAATAAATGCACCATAAGAAGATTCTCCCTATTCTTTCTTTTTGATATCTTCATTTAGTAAACTAACTTTAACCATATATAGTTGGAGTCCCTTTGACATGGAGTTATAAATTGTCGCCACATACGTTTCCCAACTTTCTAGTAAAGAGCTGAGAAGTAATAATCCTTGTATCTCATCATCTATATTCATTTTCAAAACAACCAGCTTATTTGTAAGAATCTGAAATAGACTTATGTGCTCAACAATGTTACTATCATTTTTATATTTCAAATTTACAAATCTTCTGAGAAGAGAAATTCTATTTCCCATTATCTTTTTCGCAAAAAGATTTTCTAACCTTTGCCAAACAATATCAACTTTGGTTTCATCATAAAACTCATGCAAATTTATATACATACACCTTCTAATATAAGTAATAGTTTTTCTATGTTGAACCTCTCATTCCTCATTTTTCATAGTAGAAGGTTTATCTTTAATTTTGATAGACTTATACAAATCTTTGCAACAGAGCAAATCTTCCATCATATGTCTTCAAATGGAATAATTTGATGAGTTCAATTTAATCATACCATCTGAGTGTTCCATTTCAATCACACAAGAAAAAAAACTAATACCAAACAAGATATCACTTGTTGAGAAAAATTATTATAGTCGAATAATTCTTTTTTTCTCTTTGTGTATCAAAATGGGTTTCTCGTGAAAATACCAACTTGTTATCAAAAGCAAATATTAACCAGAGTAGCATAAACAATAGAACAATAAATCAGTCACAAAATTAGACAATGAAATTTTTATATAGAAAACCCAATGCGAGAAAAATCACGGGACCGTAGTCCACTTTAAACTTCCACTATCACAAAAAATATAACATGTTTATAGTAAATTTTCTCCAAAATAACTAGAGGATTACAATAATATCATAAACACAGCTTAACATTAATATATCATCATCACGATGGATTTCATGAAAAAAAAAAATTTAGATCTCACAAAATAAGTATAATAGAAAAATATCTTAAAGAGGGTAAACTACAAATTAATGCTATTGAGATTGTAAAGCTTATTGCAAAGATTATTCATATAAAATATGAGCCAAAATCAACGAAGTTTAATCGCTCGATCCTCCGATAAAAACCTAAAAATCTTAATTTTTTTCTCCTTTTCTCTCTCTCTTCCTTTCTCATGCTGCCCGTTCACTACACGCACGCACCTGTTCGCTGCCCTCGCTGTGCACGTCTCCACCGTTTCCTTTTTTTATTTTTTAATAAATTAAATTTAAGCTCAATACCCAAATTATTTAGTCCAAACGGGCTGCGCGTAATGATATCACATAGGAACTTCTCATGAGCTTACTTATTCGTATTTTTTGAATTGTTTCTTTGGGGCAATAAAATGATTATTCACTTTCCAACAAAATGAGATATTTCTATTCAATTACTCCACGTATCACTTTCGAACAAAATAAGACATTACTATTCAATTGCTCTATATTTTCTCTTGACTTCATAAGTTTTGTTTGAAAGTGAAGCAATTTCGTTAGTAGAATCGACAACGAGGAGAAACGAGATTAAATATTTTATTTTTGTAAGTATAGAGATCCCTTTTGAAATTATAAGAATTAGGATCTAAAGGTAACTAACTACATGAGTAATTTATAATTAGCTCTTCAAAATTTGTATGAATATCCTCTTATTTTCATAATCAAAACCTAATAAAAATTAACTTACATACAAAAATAAAATTTTAAATTATTATCCTTATTAGTTTAAGAATTATATCAACCAAATAGGGTAACTTCTTGTCGATTATAATGTTTTTGTGTATCTTACTATATTTTTGATACTTTTATCAAAGCACTATAAATCTATTCATAAATATTATGAGAAGCAATTATAAAACTCAAAACCTAATCAAAATTAGTTTCTACATAAGAAAAAGAGATTCAAATATATATTCTTACTGCATTATAAATAAAATTAAAATAAATATGAAGATGGTTATATCTTATAATATTTTTAATAGACTTACAGTATATAAAAAACACTTAAATCTATTCAAAAATATTATAACCGAGAACTCTTGAGGTATTTGATATAAATTCTTATGATTCTTTCCCTTTCGTACAATGGATATACCATGATTTGTATTAAAGCATTTTATATATATTATAAAAAAAATTATTCATATATAAAAAACATCATATCTCAATAGAAATACAGAGGTAATTCATTCATATATAAGAAACAACATTATATCTCAATAGGAATACACTATTTAAGAGATAATGATGCAAATCTTTACGTTTCTTTCCATTGCATACAATGTTAATAAATGAACATAAACATAACTTGCATTCAAGTCATAAAAAGTCAATTATACTATTTTAAAACATCATTATAATGCTTTAAACTTATGTTAAACTTAAGACATGAATTAGGAGTCATGAATCAAATACCACAATGACATCTCAAAATATTATAACGATTTAGACGAATATATCTTTGGATGGAGTCATAAGCTGTAGAGATGAATTGTCAGTGGAGATGGTGAGAGATATTTATGGTATTACAGAAATATATATATATATATATATATATATATATATATCAAATTAAAAAAAAATAAGAACGAAGGTATCTTTTGAGAAAAGCCAAAAAAATTCAAATATTATTAGTTAATATGTTCGGAGGAGGACGACTCTTCAAGCAGTCTTTCGCGTGCGGCTGATATAGACGAAATAAAAAAGCCTCCTCGTACGTCACCACAAACGTCACCACCACCGAGCAGGGGTTCTCCGGGTAGGACCACACGTCACAGCAAGGCCTCGACTCCCTCTATATTACCTCGCCCATCCCACGGTGGATCCACCAGGGCAACAGACTCCTCGCCCTCCTCCTCACGGTTTGGCGACCGGCAACTCAGTTCAATGGAGCAGCATTTCCTTGTGGTGACCTACCCGCTTCAAGGGCACATCAACCCTGCCCTCCACCTCGCCCGGCGCCTCGCGCGCGTCGCCGGCGCCAGGATCACCTTCTCCATCGCCTTGTCCGGCCACCGCCGCATGTTTCCCAGCTCGGCCGATGGAGAAGTCGACGACGGCCTCATCTCCTACGTCCCTCACTCCGATGGCTACGACGACGGCTTCAACCCGGACGTGGACGACGTCAAGGCCTACCCGCTTCGGACCAGATCCGTCAGTTCCAAGACCCTCTCCGCCATCATTCGGTCCCTCGAGGAACGCGGCCGACCTGTCACCTGTGTCATCTACACCTTGCTTCTGTCGTGGGCCGCCGATGTGGCGCATGAGCACGGCCTCCCCTCTGTTCTCTACTGGATACAGCCGGCCACCGTCTTCGCGCTTTACTACCACTATTTCCATGGCTATGATGGCCTGATTGCGTCGCACAGACAAGACCCGTTGTTCCAGGTGAACTTGCCTGGGCTGCCACCGTTCAGGATTTGCGACCTACCTTCCTTTCTCAGGATTACGAGCCCCGACGATCCCTACTTCATAGTCATCGAGATGTTTAAGGAATCGTTCGATGTGCTGGACAGCGAAAAAGCTCGCTCGACGGCGAGGGTTCTGGCGAACACGTTCGACGAATTAGAATCCGATGCGCTTGTGGCTACCGAAAAAATGAAACTGATACCGATAGGGCCGACGGTGCCGTCTGCTCTGTTAGAAGGCACCGAGGCCGCAAGAGGCACGGGGAGCACAGGAGCCGATCTCTTCAAGCTCGACGAGAAGCAGTACATGGAGTGGCTGGACTCGAAGCCGGAGAAGTCGGTGGTGTACGTGTCGTTCGGAAGCCTCGCGGTGATCAAGAAGCGGCAGGCCGAGGAGATAGTGCGGGGACTGAAGGAGAGCGGGCGGCCGTATCTGTGGGTGTTGAAGAAGGAGAACAGAAGGGAACTGGAGGGGGAGGTGGAGGAGGAGGGAGGGATCATGGTGGAGTGGTGCTCGCAGGTGCGGGTGCTGTCGCACCCGGCGGTGGGGTGCTTCGTGACGCACTGCGGCTGGAACTCGACGGTGGAGAGCATAGTATGCGGGGTGCCGACGGTGTCCGCGCCGCAGTGGTCGGACCAGAGCACCAACGCGAGGCTGGTGGAGCTGTGGGGAACGGGTGTGAGGGGCGAGCTCGACGGAGAAGGAGTCCTGGAAGGGGCAGAGCTGAGCAGGTGCGTGGAGACTGTGATGGGGGAAGGGGAGACGGGGAAGGAGATAAGGAGGAGGGCGGAGATGTGGAAGGAGAAGGCACGGGAGGCGGTGGGCGAAGGCGGGTCGTCGGATCGCAATCTGAGGGCGTTCGTGGAGGAGATCGCGAGCCTCAAATGAAACCATCGATCACCCACGCCAAAAGATAAAACACTGCGGACTGCAACTGCGACGTGGGAAGAACGGAACTACTTTGTCTTCATTTGATACTAAAAGAGAGACGAGTCTGTGCTATTGACTATGGAACACTATAATACTATTGATTGTACGAGCTTGAATCGATTTCACATCCGATCTATATTTTTCTAGTGTGGTTCAAATCATAGTTCTAATCGGCCTCCTGAAGGAGCCAAATAGAAAACCCCTCGAGGAGTTTTCGGTGTGTGAAATGCACATAGAAAGCCCCTTTGGCTTAGGATCATCGATGATTGTGAGGATGGTCATACGTCATTCTCGGGTACGTCGATTCGGGAACCCACATTTATCGACTCGATATATGCTGAAAACTCAATTGTATCAGTCACGTGTGGCACAGTCGGTCATGTGCAATCGATGTGGTCTTGGATCGGTCACGTGTGGCCCAGTCGATCATGTGCAATCGATGTGGTCTTGGATCGGTCACGTGGAACAGGTGGGGTCACCAATCAAATTGTCATTTGTGTAATTTACAAACTCATCGATATGGATGCATATGAGAAAGATATACGCAAAAAATGATGACAGATATAATTCAATAATAATTGGTTGATGTGCAATCAAACTCTCTCCCGCATAATAATTGGTTGTGTCTGAGGTGCGAGGGAGTCGATGGTGTATGAGTTGAATCGGGTCGCCGGGGAACGTGGGAGCTTCCGAGTGAGGAACTATGAGTTGAATCGGCCGGCTCGCTGAGAAAGGTGGAGGGTGCTTCGAAATCGATGAGTAACTGGTGTGAAACACGTGAACCACGGCAGGTTTCTTGCTTGTTCCACGTTTTCGATTCAAGCACATGTATCGATTTTGATTTTGATTTTGACTAATATTTTTTTTATTTTGATTTTGACTAATATTTTTTCATTTTGATTTTGACTAATATTATTTTTATTTTGATTTTGACTAATATTATTTTCATAATAAATATTAGAAAAAAAATAATTTGATTGGTATGATCCACGGTTTAATCTTATATGCATCAGTAACACAAATTCTGGGAAGAACCAAGGTTCTAGATTTGATATGGTAGAATAATTTCGATTCATTCCCATCCAATCAAAAATTTTTTTTTGATGAGTCTTAGTCTTAGTATTTTTATAAATTTTGATACCAATATACATATCGATCGTTTATGTTTTTCAGTTTATGTATGCTTTTGGTTTGGATGTCTATGCTCTTCAGTTTATTTATGATCACTTTTGGTATTGTTTCTTTAGTTTATTTATGATTGTGGTTTTATTTATGCTTTTGGTTAGGTTTTATTATCACTTTTGGTATTGTCTATGTTCTTTAGTTTATTTATGTTTTTAGTTAGGTTTTATGATCACTTTTGGCTTGTAAAACACATATTGTATGATGTCATCGCCCAATAGAACATACAACTTGTTAAATACAGATTGTATACGTGTAACCATCTTAGACTAGAATATTTCGGATGATACATGATCGGATGAATGAATGTTCAGAAAACCTTCTTGGTCAAAATGTTCACTTGGAATCAGATGCAATAACAAATTTACACCTCCCATCAGAATCTCTAACAACAAATTCTATGCCACTATTGTTAGTAGTATCCAAGGATTAGTGGCTCATCGCTAAAATCGTGATGATAAGAAGTAGAGAGTTTTGATGAATGAGTATAATAGAAATATTTTAGATATATAATAATTTTATATTTAAAAAGAAACCTAAAAACTAGTTTTCAGTGACCACCACAGATAGAATAATTGTCAGCAAGACAAGTATGGGAATGTCTCGGCTATGATCATGAGATATGATGGCCATGTACTGAAGAACAACAAATTGGTGGCCTCTGCTAAGAGAACAAAAGAGATTGGCATCCACAACCTACTGGTTCTTTTTGGGGCCGGCAAAGGAAACCAGAGGCAAAGGCGCAAGCATTGGAAACTAGCTGAAATAGCAAATGTCCATGAGATACTGATCATTAAAATACCAAAATAATTCGTTACATGAGATATAAGGATGACAAAAAGGATCGGAACAGCCTACAGTCTAATCAAAAGAGATCGGTAGTGATATGATCAGGTCATTTACGGGCATCCCATTACTTATTTTTTAGAGTTCGGCGAAAACATTTGTAGTGGCTTCTCATAATAGTAGAAGAGAGGAACATTACCGCACTGGCTGTTGATTGTAGTGGCTCTTCTCCTTCTTCTTTGCAGCTGCAAGCCTCGCACTCCTCGCGGCTGCCTCAACAGCAGCAGCTTTTGCGGCAGCATCCATCTCTTTGTTCGATTTCTTCTTCTTAGAGGAAGCCACTTTCTTTAGCCTCTCCTTCATATCAACCGTAGGTGTATCCTCCTCTCCAGGTTCAGCGACTTCATCTGGTTTCTTGTTATTATTGAGATCTGCGAGCTGTTCCTCTTGTTCCTTGGTGTCCTTGGAAGATTTATCTTTTTTGGCCTTCTTTTTCTTTGAACTTTTGCTTTCTGAAGGAGCACCTGTGTTTTCCTTTTTCTCTCCATCACCACTATGCTCCTGTTGTTTCTTATCTGAGAAATTGACAGATCGAGGAAATTTTAGCAGGAAATACACATTCATCACAGAAACAATTACTAGATTATCATTTGTACAAACTAAAAGAGGTATATATATGCATGTTAAACAAGACAACATTGACTGCATATGTGTATGTATATAGATGTATATTATATATGCGTGAACCAATTTCATATATACTGTAATATCTCATTCTACTGAATGTAAAAGTCTACCATTTGCCTCATCTTGTGCAGAATTGCTTTCTTTGCCGGAAATGCCAAGCTCATTTAGAATTGCATCAAGTTCTTCCATTTCCTTTTTCTTAAGCTCCTTCTTTGATAGCTGCCTTTCTGCATCTTTCGCCGGTACTGAAACAGGAGCAGGTTTCTCTATTATTGGCTCACTTGCAAAAGCAATCTCAGGTTCAATTTCAGGTTCCTCTTCAACGTCATCTTCACCGCTATCAAGACCATTATCCTCGCTTTCACTTTCCTAAACAAATCCACAAAGACAACAAGTCTTGAAGATTCTAAAGTAAATTAATGACAGTTAAACTAAAAAAATCTTTAAAACACATTATTAAACATTACATTATAAACAATAATTTGTTAATAAATTTGCAATCAAACTTGTAAACCATAGATATCCACAATTAAAAATGGTTTGAGGAGCATTGATGTGCTAAGTTCTTCTTGGAGCCAAAGGGCATGGCACAACCAAAAGCACAGGCCCACGACAGGCCTCATTGAAGCAAGGCTCGAAAGAAAAACTTGTCTTAAGCACAAAACGGTGTACTCAAAATTTCCTTACAATTGCATAACATATTTCACTCATATGGTAGACTTTGTATTAATTGCAAAAGAAAAAGAACATTAAGTATTTAAGTGCATGTTCATATCCAACAACATTAATATTAGACATCCAGAACTAAATTAATAGATAAAGCATCACGCTGTTGAGAGAAATTAGACTAAATAGAACAACACATAATTATACCCATGATACGGATAACCATGTAATAGATGTGACAACATTGTAACAAGGGCTTGCTTAGCTCTCAAGACCATGAAGCAAAAGCTTTGGACAACAAGAAGTTGTTGTAATGTCCCAGCTATTTAGGGTAATTTATATAGATCTCTTCCTACCATTGCAATCTATATAATATTATATCTCTAGGTGAATCAAGGGCATGCAAATCTTCCTACTATTTCTAATAGTCTTCTCAAGTCTCCTCCTACCTCTCCTTACAACACTAATCCTAATTGCCATATCATCTTATCAACAGATTTAAAGGTCTCAATTGAACATTTTTGTATCATCTTAGACAATTTTTCCTCACTTTATCCTCTGCTAAGGCTACACTTATTTGTTATTATTGTTATTGGATGAAAACAATTTTTTATTTTTATCTTCTCTCATAACTCCATACATCTATCTCAACATTCTTATGTCAACTATAATAACTTTGTACATGCTATTTTTTAACTATCCAACACATTAATCCATATAGTTGGTTTTATAACTGTTTTACAAAATTTTTCTACTAGTCTAAGGAAAACATGATGATTAACCACTTAGTTTATACTCCATGATAATGTCTTCATCAATCTCTCATTTTTATTGAACAAAAGATCGAAGATATATAACACTTTTGCTTATCAAAACTTCTACATCATCCATTCTTGTGACATCCTCAATTTTTTCTTAGTATTGTTCACATTACATTTCATTTATTCAATCCTAGACCTACTCAATCTAAATCCTTTAGTTTCAATGGTTTGCCTCCATAATCAGGCTTGAAGTTAATCTCAACTTAACTTACTTCAAATATCTTGTATACAAATAGTAGATTTATCCGTTACCAATGTGAACAAAAATAAAGACTCAAGGTGACCCTAGATTCAATCCTATAATTATATGAAAACCCACCATAAACACTACCTATATTTCTAACATCATTGACTAGTCTATCTTATATATTCTCTGGAACATCCCCATAATACTAGGTACTCTTTTCTTTAAAAAAAAATCACCACAATAAATCACTCATAACTGTATTGTAGGGTTTTCCAAGTCTATGAAGATGCAAAAAAATCTATTTTCTTATCTCTGTATTTTTTGTCATTGATTACCTCGATAAAATAGAAGCACCTACAGTTGATCTTAGAGATACACAACCAAATTGATTTTCGACAATACGTGTTCGACATCTTATTCTTTCTTCAGTCACACTTTCCCAAATGTTCATAGTGTGACTCATTCATTTAATCCCTTCATAATCAAAACTTCCTGGTATATATCTCCTATTCTTATAAATTAATACTAAGAAACCTTTTCTTCATTCATCCAACACCTTTGTAATCCTCAATTTTCTAAAATAAACTACTCACTTAAACCACTCTTGATCTACTAGTCTTATTTAAACCTCAAAAGGGATGCCACCAACCCCTATATTTTTCCCTAGTGTCAACCTCTTTAAATCTTCCTTTATCTCATTTATTATAGTTTTAGGAACCAATCTATGATTTTTAATTTTACTGCTACTCACTATATCTAAAATCAAATTAACTATAAAATGATTGTTAAATAATTTATATACATATTTTTCTTATTAATCTTCATATGATTAACAAGTACCTTAAAGTCTTCATCCTTTTACATCTTAAGTTATCCAAATCTCTTCTTTTCACTAATTTTATCAATTCAGTTAAATGTTTTTTTTCTCATCTTTAAAACCTAGATTACTATAAGAACTATAAGTCAAGGATTTTGTCGAACTTATGGCCTTCTCTCTCTCTCACTTTTTTTTTGCTACTAATTTTCTAAACCTCTCCTTATTTTTGTAACTTTTGCAAATATTAACATGTTCCTTTTGTAGTGATTGCTTTTTAATCTTCTACACTCCATCACCAACTCTCTCTTAAAGACTACACCTCTACCTTCAGTTATCCAAGAATCTAGTTTGTCATGAGCATAATCTTAAAAGACTTCAAAGTCCACATGGCTTCCTTCTCCATCCAACTTTAGAAAACCTTATATTACCATCTTTGAAACTCCACAGTCTAATTATTACATAACTATTTGCTGTTTTCCCCCTTCCATTTCCCAAAACATACATCTGATACTATTAACTTGTGTAGATTAATCAAGCTTTCTCAAGGCATCAAATACTCTTAAGAAATCACTAGTGAATTCTCCAGGTATAACCTGTGTAGACTAATTAAGCTTTCTCCAGGTATAACTTCACAATCATTAACTCTAATCACTAGTGAAGAAATCCCCCGAGCAATAATCATGTCCATTCTTATAATGTTCATCTCTTCTCATGAAATGAGATATCAAATTTGACCTAAAACAAAACATAGATAATATTTACCAAACAACCTTGTCTAGATAAGCAGAACTAACTAGAATGATGTGACAATATGCCTTCCTTTTTCTGCCACCAGCTCTCCACTTGATAGGAAAAATATGCTAAAACATTGATCTACAATTTCCAACTGAGAGTTGTGCTTGGATTAAAAATAATAATTAATTTACACAAAAAAACAAATTAATTCTTCATGAAAGGGTTAAGTAAAAGTGCAACAAAACTGACTTGACCATGAGAAGTTTAGAATAGATAATGAAAATCCAGTTATAAATCAAAATTTATGACAAAATTCAATATTAACCAAAAGGATATATTAACAAATAAGAAATTACAATGAAATCACAAAATTAATATACAACTTAATCTGCTACATAACACGGCACCACATTTAAGCTGCAAAGAAGAGAATAATTCATCCAGTTGGAAAGAATAAAATATTGTGAACATGATGCAGAAACAAACAGCTTGCAAGATAGATATTATACAGGCAGCAAGTATTTAATCTGATAAAAGGTTCTTAATCGTAATCATTCTTACATGAATTTAAGATATTAAACTGATTAGGGAAATTTTATCTTTTGGGAACACAGACATGTGGACATTGATGTGGTAGATAACAACAAAATCAGTCATTTCAAATATGCCACATCACCCAAAACAACAAAAAATATTCTACCAATCAAGAATGATTTAGAGAATATTTTCTTTATCACTAGTAAAGAGGCCCTGACTATAAAAAGGATGTTCTTTTCCTTCTCAATCGAGACTCTCTCTATTCTCCACCTTGGAATCCTACCATCTAAGGCTACTAAGGCATTGGGACCGCGATTCAAAAAAATCCAACAATCTTTCTTCGCAGAGGCATTGGAGGCACACAGCAATGCATCTCGGCACTTTGGGAACCCTCTACTCCTTCCATCGGTATTGAGACTCAGGTTCGGGTTGATCTCAGTTCCTACACCTCCTTCAGGCCCAGACCAAGTCACCAAGTCAAGTCGTTTCTACCATCTCCCTAGGAGACTGACTTTGGAGATAACAAAAACAATATGCACCAAAGTCCCGAAATGGGAATTCGTATATCAGATAAATTTGTATTCAACTATTCTAAAGCTCATAATTCAAACATATTTATATTGAACCACCCGAAAAAATTATAATTCATGTCATGAAGTTGAAAAAACTGCTGAAAACACAACTACTTCAACAATTATAATCCACAACACAAGTAGCCATATGGACAAACAAGTTTGTTGCACAAACCTCCTCTACGACTGCAACAGATTCTTTGTTCTGCTGTTGCTCCGACGACCCCCAGACGGACTGGGGAGGCGCTGTGGTCGCATAGTAATCATCGTCATCGTCAACATCGGCCCAAGATGTTGACGTTAATGGTGTCGGAGTCCAAAACACCTGCGGCTCCGGCTCCTTCGCCTGGCTCTTGGACGATCCCGCCTTGCTCTTAGTCTCTTTGTTCGATTTCTTCTTCTTCTTAAGGGTTTCGAGCGCTGCGAAAACGTTGGTGCTGTTAATCTTCAAGGGCCCATCGTCCCTCCTGCTTCCACCGCCAGCCATCTCTCCCTGCGCAACGCTAATACAGATCCAACCTACGGTTTCAAGTTCTGCAAAAGACCACCTCAATGGAAAAAAATCCGTAGAAGCTCCCAAATCTCACGGATTCAAGAACCCCGGAACTATATAACCTCTTACACAACAAATCAAAGAACAGGGATCGAGTTTCTCAAGATCCACACTTCGATGAAGTGTAACAAACAATCAACCAAATGGTTCGATTTTAGCAACGAGTTCTGATGAGATCTCCTAAAAAGCGAGATTTTTTGCAGGGAACCAAATTTACGACTGGGGGAAAGATCAGAAGAAATCGAATCACGGGGATTGCAAAGGCCGGCAACGGGTGGTCGGTCAAGAAAATTTACAGGATGATGATGAGAAAGGATTTCCAGAAGTAAATCCCAGAGTATCGGAACGAAGAGGATCGATTTCTAGGGTATCGATGCAAGAAAGGGAGCAGTCGAAGGAGGAGACGAAGAGGCCGGGCGACGGCAAACGGGTAAAGAGTGAGATTAGGGTAAACAGATAACGTCGTCGAAGCCACCACGATAGCGTCTATTTTCCACATATATAATAAAAATACTCGCTTATTCATTTTCGTTTACCGATTGACTTACCTAAGTCATGGATCACTTGAGATTACTCATCCGGTCCCACACAACCAAGGACAAATCACCACTGAACAAACAGGTATATGATGGAGTTAAAGTAGAACCCGTCAAGCAAATATCTTTATCTTGTGAGCGAGGTAGGACCGCGGTTAACCGATGCCACCCGGTGAGAGGCCAGACTCCAAACCACGGACGTTTGCGGATGGCCTTGGATCACCTTAACCTAACCTGTATCCGAGGCACTACATCGATCATCCAGATCATGTCCGTTGGATCCACATCGGAGGGAGGTGATTCCATGTACGGCAAGAAGATCCTACGGACGATAGAAGTTGAACCCGGTTGAATAGTGGAGATCGTTGCGTTATAATAAGGATTATAACGGGAAAATGATATTTAGGAATTAGGATGACAATATCAATAAGAAATCAATAATAAATGACCCATGTAACTGAATTCGAAATAATTAAAACATTACGGCTTTATGTTATATCAGTTAAAGATTATTAAAATTAGCCACCATCCATAAAATCTTGCTATAAAGTGTCAAGGCTTTTAATAGCTACGTTAATTGTTGCACTAAATTTTTATATGATTTTGTGAAACACCACATGGATACAGTCTTAAATACATTGTTGTCTTGATACCTGACATGCATTGTAAGAATATACCTCACTGGAGATGTGATGCTCACTGGGAGAATTGAGATTGTTTTCCTATCAATTCATTGTTTCATACATTTAACTTGTGGTTACTATATTTTCAGACACAAGCAGATTTAGGCAACATGAGATTCAAAGAAATAGTTTATCGAGTCATTAACTTTTAAGAAACATGATAAGTAAACTTCAAAAGAGTAGATTTATACTTCACTGCTGCTCGTGCTGGTAAATATACTAAATTCTCCATGAAAATTGAGGCTTAGTATCTCATATCAACCATGATGATGCATTAATCCATAGAAAAGATAAGCAAAATGAAGTAACATTCACAGGAAGTGTAAGCAACCAGCAGTGTGTTGTTGCAGTTATTCGACATTTATTGCAAGGAATGGAAGCGCAGTCATTTCGTCCGTGCATGGCGAGCGCATGCACCTCACGTCCATGAGATGGCCATGGGGCACGTCACCACGTGCTTGTCCGAGATCCACTCGAGCTTGCCTCCGGAGAAGGAGCTGTTTCCTGCGGACTCTGTGGAGTTGACGCTTACTCTGATTTGGAAGCTCTCCTCTTGGCCGGGCCTCCAGAAACGAAGCTCGTACGCGGAGAGCTCCACCGTCACCCCCGGCGGCGCCGTGATCTGGGCACGGTAGTCCTCGGCCACGTCGCCCACGTTCTTCGCGGTTCGTTTGAGGGTGATCACCTCCCTGTTGTTGCGAGATAGACGGACGGCGAGGGAGGGGCAGTTCAGCTGCTGGGCGTGGATGGGGCGGACGTTGGAGCACTTGACTTTGCGCCCGACGAGCACCGTGACTTCCTTGTTGCTGTAGCCGAGGCCGCAGAGGTAGCCGGTGTAGTCATTGGTGTTGATCTCGTAGAGGAGGCCCGGATCCACAGCTCCCGAGGGGTTCACCTGCCCGGCGCCGACCGCGAAGATGACGGCGGTCGTGTTGGTGTACTCGTCAACGATGTAGTTGCCGTCGAGGTCGAGGTTCTTGGCCGACGTTATGATGGCCGATTGTATCGCCGAGGGCGACCACTCGGGGTGCTTGGTCTTGATGAGCGCCACGATCCCGCTCACGTGAGGTGCCGCCATGGACGTGCCGCTGAGGAAGTTGAAGGTCGGGTCTACTATATTCGTCGGATATGGCCCGACCTTGAACGGCCAGGCGGCTAAAATGTTCACGCCGGGCGCGAGGACGTCCGGCTTCAGGATGCCGCCGTTTGTCACTGCCGGTCCCCTGGATGAGAAGCAGGCGACCGCCGGAGTCGGCCGCTGGCCGAAGACGGTGTCCTCGAAGACTATCGTGGCCATGGCCGAGTCCATGGCTGCCAAATAGTATTCCAGGACCTTCAACCCGTCCTCATATGTCAGGTGGCTGGCCGGGAGGACATGAGCCTCAGCGTCGGTGGTGTAGCCTTCGTTCTTCCTGTTAATGATGATCATGGCGGCGCCTCCGGCTTTGTAGACCACCTTCCCCTTCTCGATGTTCTCTATCTCACCAGTAAAACACACGACGATCTTGCCAGACACATCGATGAAGTCCAGAGATCCGTTGACGCAGTATCTGGCTAGAAAGCCTCCTGTTGCGCCGGGGATCACGATCGGCTTCAAGTCGGAGGAATTGAAGGAGCTCGGTTGGTACGCCGACTCGCCAGCCAACTCCGTGCCGTCGCCGAGCTTCACGATCGCACTGATCCTCCGGTCGGTCGTGCTCGCCCCGACGGTCAGGACCCACGGCGCTTCGTGAGACAGCGAGCTGTTCTTGGGGCCGTAGTTGCCGGCGCAAGTGACGGCGGATATCTGGTGGCGCAGCGCTGCAAACGAGCCTTGCGCGACGGGGTCGTCTGTGAAGTTATCCGGCGTTTCTTTGCCGATGGACATGGATATTATGTTGACCTTATCCTTGATGGCGCGCTCTATCGCTGCCAATATGTCGCAGTCATGGCAAAGGCCCCGGAAGCAGGCCTTGTAGATGGAAAGATGAGCTCTGGGAGCCATGCCCGAGGCCGTGCCGAGCGCCATGCCCAGTACCTCGGCGTCGAAGACGAAGTTGCCCGCCGCTATGCTAGCCACATGTGTGCCATGCCCGTCGTCATCGATGGCGGAGACCTTCTTGCCTTTTTGGAACGCCCTCGCGCCGACGATCTTATGGTTGCACTTCACCCCGCTCTTACTGCTGCAGGACCCCTTGAATTTTTTCGGAGGGCGCGCCATGCCGTCGTCGCTGAAGGAAGGGTGGGAGGGGAAGATCCCGGTGTCGATCACCCCAATCACGATTCCCTCACCCCAGGAGGTCGTCCGCCATGTGCCATTCCACTGGCTCAACCCCAAGAACTCCGGCGTGTACGTCGTCTGGATCCGCCGCACCTTGTCCGGCCGCGCGTACACGAACCCATCCATGGCTTCCATGGTCCTCACCTCTGCCGCCGTCAACCTCGCCGCGAACCCGCTGATGGCTTCCCGGTACGAGTATAACAGCCGCGGCTCGCCGGAGTCGAGGGTGGTGTTGGGCAGGAAGGACTCATGCCACCGCTGAAGATCTTCACTGCTGAGGAATTCTATTCCCTCGGGCTTCTCGACGTGAACGATGTAGGTTTGCAGGCCATTAGGGTTGCCTCCCTGGTCATCGACGATGGGAAGAAGCTGGCCTTCACTCACCAAAAGAGCAAAACCATGGAAGAACAGGAAGAAGACGTAGCATCGGAATAGGAGTGCACAACGGTGCCCCATTGGAAATGGATGAAGATGTTGCAGACAAACTTGCGATGGTTTGGTGACTGAGAGCTCGCATGATGAACGTAAGATATATACACTGCGGATCTCAGGGATGAAACATACTGCATTTGGTGTCTTCTGATGTGGACGTACGTGGTTTGCTTTGTTTACGAGCAATACGACGATGAACGAAGGTGCCCCCCAGGCTAATAATGCTGTGTATAATTCATGTTGATGCTAATAATAATGATCATATCATGCAGTGATAGATGGGAATACAAGAGGGGTTCTTGTGGCCTTTTCAATTTCATATTGGCCAATGATGCCTTCATCTTTCTCGTGGGAGGATATCCATATCATTATTGTACATGAGCTTGGACTAAGTACACTAGGGATTCTTGCAACAATATACATACATATATACATACATACATACATACACACACACACATATATATATATATATAGCAAATTTTTTTTAAAAAAAAGAAGTCATTTTTCAGCAGAGCGACATTTTTAGATAAACTAATTACTCTTTAAAAGCAAGATAATTCATTCTCTCCTCTTTCATTGTTCTCTAGTTAATTTAGTTTAGCACTTGATAGTTATTACAATAGATAAAGAAACAATATTTCATATTTTCATAAAAAAATAATTTTAAAAAATAGATGGCTATAAAAAACTTGATACGAATGACATAAGATTTTTAGAATAGTAAAATAAAGCTATGAGTTTTGTTTTAAAGAAATAAAAACAATCATAAATTGATACATTTTTAAATCTTCTTTTGTACTTTGTCATATTGCAATAAAACCTCAATTCCGAGATGTATGCTCTTTAGATCAAAATTGTTCCATTCGGTGATATTGTTTTCTAATTATATGTTTGTCTCTTTAGAGCATTAAATTATAAACATAATAAACAAATATTTTTCTCTAATTATGCACATATATTTGATGGTATATGAAATAGGGATCGGCTAAGGTATTGTTTAGCTCCTTGTAGTGTTGACCCCATACTTAATTGAGTTTTGAGTTAAGACATAGCATGTTTCTTTTGTAAAAAAGAAAAAAAGAAAAGAAAAACTCTCCCTCGTCCCATGAAAGACTCAAATCCTCGATTACGATTAAAGAGATTAAAATATAATACAATATTAGATATTTTCTTAAAGAATTATAGACTAAAAAGGTCAACTGCAACAATAAATTTAAAGCCATCAATTCTAATGCATGAAAAAGGACTTGAGAAACATTAATTTATTGTGTATATATATTACTTAGAGTTAGTTTAGACAACCTCGTCGTTGTAGTATAGTGGTGAGTATTCCCGCCTGTCACGCGGGTGACCCGGGTTCGATCCCCGGCAACGGCGTGTGCTTTAATCATTTTTTTTATTATGTATTGATTAGATTAATTAGTAATTTTTTTCATGAAAAAAAGGAAATATATCAGTTTAGTGACTGACTCTGACATCAAAACTAGTTATAACTATTTTATTTTATTGATGATAATTAATTGATGTAAATATTATTTTAATTTATCGTTAAGTTCGCATGTGAATTCGAACCTAAGATTATAATGCACTAATCGATACGAATGGAAATAATTGTTAATATATTTAACTTGACCAAAAAGGAAAAAAAGATGCTAAAAATTAGTATCTCTCAACAAATAAAATCTGAAATATGAATGGCTTTCCCACCTAATTTTTATTTTTACTTTTATTTTATGTAGAGATTAAATATTTTTTTTTATTTTTTGATTTAATTTAATTATATTATTATGTATGGATTCGATTAATTCTATCCCAACTGGATTACTTCAACCACTACAATACTTCATGAGCGATTATGGAAATAAAATATTGTAATTCATCTCAATATCTTAAAACTCTTGATGACACATTATTTGATAAGACTATAAAATAAGTTTGATTTTATAATCTATAGACACCATGCTTGAGGATATAATTGTATACAAGCTAACTTTCAATCATTTACTTGTGTATTCGTTTATTTTTCGGAGGATATTTGATTGTTCTATATACGATCGAGTAAGAGTATAACACGACTTATTAAGTCGGTAATCATTATGAATTTATGAATTTTTTTATTTTTATATAAATTATTAATTAGGTCAATACTGACTTAAATCTTTGTTGGAGCTGAGATTGGGTCCAGATGAAGGCTAACTCTTCCTCTGAGTTCGAACCGTAGTCCTTCTAGCTCGAGCTCAACATAGTAGCAATGGTGGTCGAGACTCAAAGAACAAGTCAACACAGTTACTTACTCAGTTCATATATCAATACTATATCAAGTGCAGAATTAAGCAGTTGGTTCACAGGCGGCTCTCGTCGGCTTCCCAAGCTTTCCCACTAAGACGACGACAAATTCATCCTTTCCAAAACGCTCCAACTCTCGCACTCTTTCCGTGGCACAACACGACAACCAACTCTCCATCTCCGTCCCCCTACCGCTGCTTCAACTTTCCGCAAGCTATCTACCACATGATGTAGGACGTACTCCGACAGGCTGAAGCGGTCAGAACTTGAGGGCCACGTTGCCGCCGCCGTTCCCGTCCTCTGCCTTCACCGGCAGCGGCAACAGCGCCTTCTCCTCCATCGATGGAGTTCCCTCTTCCTCCTCCTCCTCCTCTTCGTCTTCTTCCCTCTCCTCCCCTTCTTCCTCTTCCTCGATGCTCTCCGACCGCTCCCCGCCGCTCCTCACCTCCGACTCCGGCGAGCCGGAGGACCTCCCCTTGTAGGCCGCGGCCCCGCGGTGGAGGGGAGGGTGCAGGTGGTGGTGATGCGCCACCGGTGGGGGCGGCGGGTAAAACTCCTGCGGCACGGGCGTGGCGGCGCAGTAGTGCGCGGGGGCCGCGTGCGCACCGTAGATGGCAGGGCCGGCTGCCGCAGCGGCGGCAGCAGATGTGGCGTACTCGGGCGGGACCCAGATGCCTCCCAGCACCACCAACTGCGGCGCAGCTGCCGCTGCCGCCTGCGGCGCCGGGGCCGGCCTCCTCGTATGAAGACGATACTTCTGTCACACATAGTAAAGGAAAAGGAAACCTGTCACTTTACAGCCAGAAAGAGAACAGAGAGATGGTGGCAAAATGGACTTAAGATCTCACCTGCAGGTGGCTTTTCACCTCATCATTGGTCAATCCATCCACCTTCATCAGCTCTCTTATCTGCTTTGGCGTGGCAACTGTTCCAAGTTTCAGATCAAAAGGTTAAACTCATACATATTTGAGGAAAGGAATTAAGCCACAGTCCAAACTTGTCTTTATAGAGAAGAAAACCTTCACATATATACTCGCAAACATCTGCATATATTTACAATTCCTACCTTGGGAGCCTCCCAGTATCTGAAGAGCATTGACAAAGCGACGGTGCAAGTCCGGTGACCAGCATCTCCTGGCCTTCCTATGCGTCGGTGGCGCGGCCGCCTGGCCCTCGGTTGCGCTGCTGCTACCTCCCTTGCCATGTTCTGCTCCCCCTCCTCCGGTGCCATTTTCTCTTCTAGTGATGACACCTCCGTTCTCCAACTCCACGCACTTCTTGTCCTCGACCACCACCTTCTCCGGGGAAGCGAGTGCGAGCTCCGAAAGAGCGCGCGAGGCAGAGCGGGCGGCTTTGCTCTTCTCTTTGGAGAAAGGGAGGAAGGCGCCACCATTCCTTTGCTTGGTATCCAGTGAGAGCTTGGGGCTGACATCGAAGGCCTGCTCTGTCTCCTTCGGCGGCGGCACCGGCTGTTGCTTGGCGGCGTCGACGGGCGGGCTCCATAGCTGAGCTGAGACCATCCAGCTCGCCTTCTCAGAGTGCGCGCTGGGGTCCTTGTCGGACCCGTCCATGTTCATGTGTTTAAGAGGTATGAATTCTTCGAGCACCGGCCTCGGCCCCTGGTTTGTCTGATATGTCTCCAGCTGCTGCTTGTAACACTCGATCGCTGTTGTGACAAGAAAGAAGATGTAAGCCATGAATCATTGTAGGTCAGCATCGGTTGCACCATTGTGATTCCACTACAGCAGAGTGCAGGAGGACAGCGGAGAATTCTGAAACCAATCAGTCTGCCACGAACAATTCATTGAGGAGACATGATGTTTACTTACCATTGTTAAGAAGCTGCATGCAGAGGGGCAGCTCGCGCTTGAAGGCATCGATCTTATGCCGTTCTTCTTCGAGGCGGGCGAGGAAGTCTTGTATCTTCTGGGTCTGGTCAGGCTGCTCTCCTATCTGCTTTTGGATCATGGTGTAACTGTTGGGCTTGTAGTCTAGGCTAAGCTCAGCTGGTGAAGCCATGTCCAGGGCCACTGCTAATTAATGCCAGCTCTCCTAGAGGAAGATAAGATGAGGGGGGAGATGGTGATGATGATGGTGTTGTTTGCGCAAGAGGAATCAGGAGGGATGACCCTCTTTTTTAGGGTGAGTTTGCGGGGGGAGAATAAAGTGAGATTTGAGGAGCCGAAAAGAAAAAGCAGGAGATAAAGCATGGTAACTTCTTGCAAAGAACAAAGGCAAAAGCTTGTAGAGGTTCATGAGAAGGGAATCAAGGTGGCCAAGGGTTCATGTGCTCTGGCCCTGGTTTTGGTACCCTTGGACTCCCCTTGTACTAATTCAAATCAACTGCATCAAAAAAGATTCTTCTTCTTCTTCTTCTTCTTCTTCTTCTGTTCCTTGTCCTTTTTGGTGAGCAAATCCACACACACAACTTGAGGTCTAACCATGTTTGTGTAAAAGATCTACAGCAACTAGACAACATATGTCAAAGTAATATTTGGAGGAGACCATGATTCTGCAATGATTAAACTAACAAATGAGCAGTAAAGCTGTGGGAGCATATACTGCACATAAATAATTTAAACAAGTTATGCAGAGATTCTCTCTCTCTCTCTCTCTCTCTCTCTCTCTCTCTCACACACACACACACACACACACAGAGTCCATTTGAAAGGAAAGAGAGGTTCCTCTTCTTTCTTTTGTATTCAAAAGGTATACACTGGCTGTGTAACCCTTCACACTCACAAAGAATGCAAGGAAGGCTAAAAGGCAGGATATGTAATGCATGCTTAAAAGAATATTACTGTCATAGGGGCCTCCATAAGCAAGGAATATATTAATGGTGACCAACACACACACACACACACACAAGTCCATAAAATATGCTTTAAGGAGGGGGCAGCTCAACTCACCCCTCACTCACCCCCAAAGCATGCAAAGGGAAGAGTGCTGTGGGCTGGGGAATCTTCCATCCTGCTACTACTGCTAGCTTTAGAGGAAGTGGGCAGGAAGGTAAGTAGATTCCTGTATGCATTGAGGGAGGGGGGAGAAGGAGAAGAGCTGCATCGAATTCGCTGTGCAATTATGAGGGTTGGTCGCTTTCTGCATCAGTCTTCAGGTACAAGCCTCCAACCCATGCCTTTTGTGTGGATTCTCTCAAGCTTTCTCTCTAAACTTGTCCTCTAATTTCCTCTCTTTTTTCTTCCCTCCTTGTGTCTCTCGACCATATTCCCCAGCATCTCTCCTGTTGAATATACCTTTTGTCTAATGCGAGCAGGGAATATTCCCTTTGGGCCATGGAGATAGGATTGCATTTAGATCTCTAATTATCTTCTTCCTTAGTTTAAAGCTCAAGTTATCTACAGACGAGGATGATTCCCTGCCTTTGGAAAGGTGAGGGCAAGCCAAGAAGAAAAAGAACGGCCCTGACATTGTGTGGAATCCTTGATATGTTAGTTTGCTAATTGAGGCTTTTGTGCTCGTTAAGTTCTTTCTGGTAAAGTAAGATTGCCCCTTTTTTGTCCTAAAGGTCCATTTGATAGTTGGCAAGTCAGTTACTTGTTTGTAAGTATTTTTTATTAC